ATGTTTATTATTTTTTTTGTTAAAGTTTGTGCACTAAAACCTGAATTACCCTCAATATTAAATGCCTTTACCAATTTTTGATCTAGTATTCCTTAATTTCTAGGCGCCACAGAAGAGAAAACGACCTTCTGGTGCAAAATTTCGAGAGCAAACAAGTTAACGAGTCCAAGAAAGGGAGAAGATGGCTGGCAGTATGAAACATTTTTTGCGAAAAAGTCAAATTTCCAACACTGAAACGATAGAGGAAGGTGAAAATACAGTTTCTGAAGCGGCGGCACTACCATATTCTGCAACATGTGAACCATCAACATCATCATCACTTATCGAAAATATATTCTCTATAGAGTCGACCATCCCAACAAAGACGGCTACAAGTGACACTTCTGACGATGAAGTTTCTACTGAAGCGGTGACTGAGAAAACTAGTATTCTTATATCAGAGGCCCAGAAGCATTACCAACGACGAAGTCAGAATATTGGTTGACGTGGTCCTCCTTTGACAAGTTCGCAGTTCCAAATATTATTCAATAATTTTAGACTGTATACCGGATACAAATCATACAGAGCAAATAAGCCTTGTGTTGCGTTATGTCGTTCTAAATGACATTTCTAAAAAGGCTTAAATACAAGAGAGTTTCATAGCGTTCAACCCAATATCCGACTCAACAGGGGAAGGGCTATTTGATTTTGTCGTTGGACTTTTGAAAAATTTTAATTTAGATATTAAAGACATGAGAGGTCAAGGGCATGATAATGGGGCGAATATGCGCGGAAAACATACTGGTTTACAAAAACGCATACTCGATGCTAATCCCAGGGCATTTTTTGTGCCATGTACTGCACACAGCTTAAATTTAGCAGTAAATGATGCTGCTAAAATTTCAAATGAAACAGTTAACTTTTTCAATATTGTACAAGAACTTTATGTATTTTTCTCTTCATCCACAAAAAGGTGGGATATTATAAAAAAGCATGTCCCGAAGTTAAATCTAAGACCCCTAAGTGATAATAGATGGTCAAGTAGGATTGATGCTATAATGCCGCTAAAGTTCTTCTAGAAATAGCAGAAAATGATACTTTTAACATAGAAGGTAGGCATAAAGCAAGTTCTATGCTATTAAGTATCCAATCTTTTAAATTTATTTGCAGTGTAATAATTTGGTATGATGTTTTATTCCAGATTGGCATTGTAAGCAAAATGATGCAAAGTGAAACGACTGATATTAAAGTGTGCCAAAACTATTTAAAGAATCTAGTTGATAATTTTAAAAATTATAGAGATGATAATGTTTTCGAGGAAAAACTTGCTCAAGCTGGAGAACTAGCAGCCGCTCTTGAGATAGAGCAAGGTTTTCCTCCATTAAATACTGTTAGATGAAAGTATAAACTAAAACTGTTCGATTATGAACAGAGAGATGAGACACCTCAAAATCCAAAAACAGCGTTTAAAATAAATTTCTTTTTAAAAATAATTGACAAACACTAAGTTCTTTAAATAGTAGATTTGAAATGATATCTGATTACGATAACGTTTTTGGTTTTTTAGTGATATTTTTAAATTAGATGAGGATTTTTTAAATCGGTGTCTTGCTCTACAGCAAAAGCTAACTGATCAGAAAAAGGAGGAGGCTGACGTAGAAGAAAATGATTTATTTAATGAGATAAAAGCCCTAAGATTGTTTTCATTACCTGAAGCCAGTGTTGCTCCTGGTTGTACAATTGTACAAAATGTTGTACAATCAGTTATGTGGTTGTACGCATTTTTGAAAAAAGGCGGAAATGTTGTACAGTTTGAAATTGCTAAATATTTATGTAAAATCTGGTATATAAAAGGGTTTATCCAGCTTAATAAGTCTACAATTCGTTATATCGCATGTAATAAAGTTAATAAAAAAAATTAAATTTAAATTTGGCGCCATTCGCGACCAATCAAAATCATTTTGAAACTGGTTGGACTTTTATCCTTTAAAAATAAAAAAGAATTTTATGCTTTGAGAAGTGGTATGCCGTGGGCTGGCAGTGAAAAAGAATAAGATTAATTAGTTGTACAATCAAACGTAAAAGTTTACAATTTTGACATTGAAAGTTGTACAATTCCAAAATCCCTACGAACAACACTGCCTGAAGCGTCAAATCCCCTCGACATTTTTCAATATATATTTGAAAACAATATAACCATCTCTACCAAATATTACCATTTCGTTAAGAATCCTGCTTACTTGTAGCTGTATCTGTAGCTTCTGGTGAGAGATCCTTCTTAAAATTAAAAATAATTAAAAATTATTTGAGGTCTACCATGTCACAAGAGAGATTATCGGGTTTGGCAATCTTAGTTAGCTATAGAGCAAGAGATCCTCGATAAAATTGATTTTGACAATATTATAAAAGAATTTGCAGCAGCCAAATCCAAAAAAAAAAAACCTATTTAATTTTTGGATAATTGAATGTTTTATTTGTTTACTGTTTGGTTTGTTTTTCGTTTGTAAGAATAAAATATTGGTTTTTGAAATATCTGGTGTTTCATTACAAAATTAAAATAAAATGTGGTTTTGCAATTCGCTCAAATACTAAACGACTACAAGAATATTACAGCAAACCAGGAAATTTAAAAAACATATGTAACAGCTTAAAGTTGTTATTCTTCAAAATATTATTTATAATAATAATAATAATAATAATAATACTCTCCCTAATTCAACCTCTTACGAGTGAATTTCAACCCCTGAAGTCGACTGAACGACTTGTGTAGGGGAAGGGACGGCTATTATTATTATTTGCCGTGGCGCTCCGGGGCGACTTAAAGATGATTGATGGTGCCATTTGACTTACAGGTGAGGAAAACCTCACCCATCATCATTGAGACGGTAATGCATGGCGATTTTTTAATCTGCATGTCATATCAACAGAAATTGAATTTCTATTAATACGGCACACATCAAATCCTAAACCGAACCATGCAATTTAATTAAAAATCCACATGGTCCGGTCTGGGATTCGAAGCCCAGCAGTCTGACTCATAAACTTGCCTATAAATGAATATAAGCGCGTTAGACCGCTACACTAGCGACCCGATAATACAAGTACTACATATATTCAAAGTGCGCCAAAGTATTTCCGGCACGCGGGCGGCGATAATCCTTGCGGGGGCCCTGCACTCAATGATATAGATACATAAATATATAGATGTTAACCCATCTATAAAAAAGATTACGAAAAGAGGGTTGCACTATGCACTGCTATTGCCTTTCTTAGTGCCCACTAAATAGAGCCCTTCTAGTCCAAATGTGTTTTAAAATAAAATTTCGGCATTTTAAACTTTAGAAAAAGAAAATAATTAAAATTTTACTTCAATACACGTTATTATGTATTTTGAAAGTTGAGTTTCCATGTTAAATAATATTAAGAGACCTAAACAACTTTTATAAATAATTTTAGACTACTCTCATTTCAGAAATAACATTATATAAATAACACATAATTGCAATAAGTAATACAATTTTGAAAAGGTAATGTAAACAACTTTGATATGAGATATCAACAACTTTGGTAAGAGTTGAAATTAGATACTTATCTTTTATTCTGAGTAAGGTTTAATGGTAATGTTACTAAAAAAATTTAAAATTTATTGTAATCTCTTTTGACAGTAATTGCAATGTATTAATTATGATTTGTTTATTTTAGTGATAAATGAGAAATAGTTAATAAATTGTAAAGAGGGCCATGATATTTTTGTTAAATTGGACATTCTAATTTCACAGTAACATTCTACATTAGTTTCTATATAAAATGTTTATTTAAATATGTAAAAATCTTAATGACAAGAAAACATTAAAGATTCTAATTTCCAAATCGGTTCTGTAGATGATTTGTTTGCAACTAAGTGCTCAAAATTGATACAAGCTAGATAAAAAGAAAACTTTGCCCAGTGAAATACGCTTTTCCTCATCTGATTTACATAAGGATAAGCAATCTATGTAATTATGTATATCATTGGGTGTGGAAATTTATAAAATTTATCTACTATCGAATCAAATTCAGGTTTACAAAGTGATGTGTTTGTACATCCACGGATGCAACAAGTTTTTTCGATAATGATATTATGAACATAATTCGACTTTATTTAATTAATAATTACTAAAAAATAAATGCCGTATGAAACATTAATAAATCCCCCCCATAAAGTTCACAGTTTTGTCACCAGTTGGCGTTAAAGTAAAGACGCACGGTTCCTATTATCTATAAAACATTGTGATTGAACATGTAATGCCATTTGTTCCTTTTTTGGGAGCGAATAGTTTATTTATGCAGGATAATGCTCGTCTCCACGTGGCTAGACAAGTTATAGAGTACATGAACTCTGTAGCTATTCCGTTGATGGAATGGCCACCTTGAAGTCCCGATTTAAATCCCATAGAGCATCTTTGGGATGCTCTTAGAAGAAAAATTCGAAGTCGCAATCCCGTACCGGTTAACCACAATCAATTGGTGGATGCAGTAATTGCCGAATGGGAGGATATTCTCCAAGATACAATTAAAAATTTAATTTCCAGTATGCCGATGCATATGAATGCAGTGATTCGAAGTAAAGGTGGGCATACACGTTATTAACATTATAAATCCATTAATTTTATTGTTTTTGATTTTTGTTCTTTTTAGTTTCACGTTTCCAAAAAATAAAATTGTGCTTAATACACTCACAATTATAATCTTAATTTTACTTTATTAAATAAAGTAACTCGTTAATTTTGTTTTCATTTATCAAAGCGAGCAGAAATTATACAGTTCTACACATAACAAATATTCGATATTGACACATCGCTTGAAATGTCAGAAAAGGTCCATAACAATGAATGTTTTGAATAAAAAAGTCTATTAAAACATGTTACGCTATAAAACGGCGTATCTCCTTTAATAACAGAGATAATGAAGAAAACCAAGAAAGCAAATGTTGGCGAAAGATGGACCTACCGTCTAATGTCAACTGCTATATGTTTCGGTTGCTAGTATACTCCACAGGGTGTTGCGAATTTTCGGAAAAACATTATATTTTTATTACACCCGGTATAAATCGAAAAGGAACTTTTTATCAAAAACAGTGAAAATTATGACATTGTCAAGAAACCAACCTATAATGAAAAAAAATCATTCAAATCGGATCATAAATTCAAAAAAAAAAAAAATAGCATCAAAAATGTGGCAAATTTATGATGTTGCGTTAATTTTGTCCAGGAGTTTAGTAAGAGATCTTATGAATGTTTTGTCGTTTTGTTGACTCCTTAAAAGTTCACCATTTTTGTAATTTAATCGTTCCTTTATCTCTAACGGTTTCCATGTTTTCAAAATAACAATTTTAACATCGCGATAAAAAAAACACATTTATGAACGTTAATTTTAAAGTTTTTTAAATAAAGTAAAAAAAATAGTATAAAACCCTTCCATAATAATATTTTAAACTTTGAAACTTGTGTACAAACTAATTATTAAAATGTTGACAAATTATGTTTTATGCCAACAACATGTTTAAAATAGACCTCATATATCCGCTATACCTATTGACTATCCTTTGGTATTATTCTCTACTATAAACCTTATTCATTCGACTCTATTCAATAATTAACAAAGTAATACAAAAAATGTATATAATAAAAATTAAACTAATATATTTTTTAAAATTGGTATGGTTTTTGTCTGCGTTAAAACAGTATTAAGAGAGTCTGAAGTATTGAGGCCCCAAATATCCAATGGATCCCTGGCCATGCAAGCAATCCTAAAAAAAATTAAAACTAAACTTGGAACAATGTATGTATGTTTTTTTACCTTCCGCCAGAAATGGAATGCAAAAATTTCCAATAACTTGGTCTGAGATTTGTTGGTTCCAATATTGCAGCGTGGAACAGGACGGCTGTACTAAAGCAGTATAAAAATTCCGTGAAACCAGGAACATTGGGAACAATACCCTTTTCTATACCCAAATTATATGTAATCTAAAAAAAATTGCACAAATGACAAACAAGTACCTATTTCTTTAAGGTAGAAATTAAAACAACTCATAAATTTCGAAGCACCCTAGTTGAACAAGGGTTGTTCTCTTTCCGTTAAGCCTAGTAAAGTAAAACACAGTTTATTTATAAAAAAAAACATTTATTTATAATTTTTTAAAGTATCCTCGTGTCCGCATCCGCAAATACCATTCTTGAAACATTTTCTTCAATCTTCTGGTCGTAGTTTGTCTATCTCATTTTTAAATGCATCAACCGTTCTTCGGCCGATGTAAAACGTAATCCCCGTAATTTGTCCTTTACCCGCGGAAATAAGAATTCATTAGGTGCTAGGTCTGGAATATACAGCCATTGACCTATTGTTTCTATATTTTTGGCATTCAAATACCCATCTGTTCGAGCAGCGCTGTGAGTCTTGATGATCCTTCCTCTGGACGTTTTTCGCGAACCTTTTGGAGAACCTGAGGCATACAAACTATAGTGTACCATTTTGAATTAACTGTACGTCTATCCTTCAGTGCTACAGTGGAAACATGGACAGTTATTCCAAAAAAAGTGGAGACTATATTTTTGTTTCGGCTTTGTTCACGATCAACTTTTGTTTGAGCAAACTCATTCTCAAAGATCCAAACTGACGGGATCATAGCAGTATTTCTACCACATATCCAACTAGTCATTCATGAATTTCAAATATACTGTGGCCAACAATACTCGAAGTATACCCATGTTTCATCACCTGTGATGATGTTGTATACTAAATTAGACGATCCATGGTCAAAGCGATCTAATGTAATCTGCACCGTCTCACACGATCTTCCTTTTGAGCTAAAGTCAAGTTGTGGGGAATCCACCGAAAATAAAGATTACAGACTTTCAAATGTTTGTGTTGTGTGTGCGTTAATTATTTTCACACCAATCTTTAAATGTTTCTGACAGTAATGCGCCAGTCCTCTTTAATCATGTTCCAAATAAGATCAATATTTTTTATGTAACTGCCGTTTTTGGCTTAAGAGCTCGAAAACTGTCATTTAACAAAAGTCGACAACGTTAAAATTCATTGTACCACCCAGGGCCGCCGAGAGCCAGTTCGGGCCGAGGGACAATTTTCTAGGTCGGGCCTTTTCAATATCACATTTCTAAAAAAAAGTCTCCCAGCAAAAACTTCTCTTTAGTGAATTATCTAAAAAAAAAAGGTCCTTCCTCTTGTGCTCTTGTGGCGAACGAAAAATAAAAAACGTTCTCACCTAAAGTTGCCGAGCCCCCACTTGGGCCCTGGGAATTAGTCCCGGCTACCCACTCCCTCTCGTTGGCCATGGGGTACCGCTTTACGGTAGCGAAGGAACACGACTGATTTCCTCAAAACATTCTTTAGGATTTAAGCCACACTTGAAATTGTAAAAAAACACAGCCCGATAATGCTCCTTATTCCATCACTTGGTGAAAGGATTACTGTAAACTAATGTAACTTATAATTACAATCAGGTATATTTAAAACGTGTCACTAACTAAACTTGTAAACAAATAGATTAAAATTTCATATAAAATTTGTTACAAAAATATAATTGCCTGCTAGATAGGCTCAACGGAAAGGAAACAACCCTTGTTTAAAGTAAAGTTAGTCATAATTTATAATTTCAAATATTTATTATAATTGTTATGTTTTAATCTATACCTGAGCTACTTTCCATAACACATATAAGGACACAGTTGAATCGGGATATTTAACAAACGCAGTTCCTGCAATTAAGCCCGCAAGCATTGCGTGCAGAGAGCTGTCTGTTCCTCTAATCCTCCTCAAAAGACATAAACATCCCTACAAAAAAAAAAAAAACTAATAAAACTACAAAAATACAAACGGCCCACATAACAGCAATTTATGCCTTTATTTATGGAAAGCCTTAATTGAGATACACTACAATTATTTGCAATAAATATCAAAAGAAGCATACATCTTTAAATAATTTGACATTTAAGAGCCATTCACACATCACAGTTGACATTTTGATACTTGACAGGCACACCCAAGCATTATTCTGATTATTGCCAAATAAAATGGCCGGTTAATTATTATTCTATGGGGTTGCGACAGAGAGCCAGTAAATTTGATGAAGTATTTTTGTGGCTAGGGGCCAAATAGTAGTACGCCTAAGTTAGCACCACCATAAAAAAGTAATTTTTAAGAAACTGCTGGTAATTATTGCGAAGACGCCCTTTTCTTAAAAATGCATATTTTTTTACAAAACTTACATTTTAGGCTTTAGGAAGGATAGTATTTTTCAAATATATCACCGGAAACCCCATAAATTAACGTTTTTATTTTAAATTTGTAAATTAAATGCTTACGGGAATCACTTAATGATCATTTATGTAAACCTATTCATTAGAATAATATCTGTCATCCTGTCATTAGAAATGCGCGGCGTTGCCAAGTGTTCAAAAAAATCGACAAAAAAAGAAATATTAAAAAACACTTTATTTTTGACATAACATTTGCATACACTTTTAAAAAGCACCACTTCTATTAATTTATTCCAGTTATATATATTGTATATATATTTTCCTAAACAAAAATGAGAATTACGCGGCATACACAGAACAATGTCGCTGACGACATTGTTCTTCAACCAATCATCCACATGTATTTTATCCTGTCAAGAGTAGATGTTGGTGATTGGTTGAACGAAAATGTAGTCGGCGACAGACATCGTTCTGTGTATGTCCTTGCCCAGTCAGCCGATTGCTAAGTGTTCTGTGGTTGTTTATAAATACGAACCCTGTTTAAAAAGTTGAATTAAATTTATAAAAAAATATTCATAATTATGGCACTTTGTAACGCGTGTTACCTATCGATGCGCGAGGTAGCAGTTATGTGTGAAGATAATGAGGCGATACGTGTCTTCTTAATACACCACGGAGTTATTCGCGATACTGTTACTTGCCCGACTTGTGGTAGTATACTTTCCCTAAATTGGGATAGAAAGGAATATCGTTGCCAGAAATATTATGTGGAAAACAAGAATAAAAAAAAATGTAGCTTTCAAAGAAGCGTTTTTAAAAATACTTTCTTCAGCAAATCTCATTTGCAAGTTGACAAAATTTTAATGTTTGTTTCTTATTTTGTAACACTTGCACCTCCACGGCAAAATATAATATCTAGCGAATTGGCACTAGGAGCAAACACTATTGTTGATTGGATGTCGTTTGCCAGGGAGGTTTGCATGTACTACAAAAATAAAACTCATACAATGATTGGTGGTCCAAATGAGGAAGTTGAAATTGATGAAGCAAAAATCGGAAAAAGAAAATACAATAGAGGACGAATTATAGAAGGCCAGTGGGTGTTTGGAGGTGTTCAGAGGTCTAATCCAACAAAAAAAATTTTTCATTGTAGCTGTAACTGACCGCACAAGGGAAACTTTAGTGCAGATAATAAATGAAAATATTTTGCCTGGGACGAAGATCTTTAGTGATTGTTGGAAGGCTTACGATTGCTTGGATGATTTAGGTAATCACTTTTTATATATGTTAATAATTTATTACCAATTTGACTAGAACAGAGACAAAGTATGGTGATTTAGTTTAGGTTTCATTATCCTAGATTATATAATAGTTTGTACAACAAGATGAATTTTGAGCTCGATCCTACAAGCAGAGTGTTCAATCATTTAAGTGCGATACGGACAATTCTTTAGAGTTTTATAGAATGCTTTTTCTACGACCCACTAACGAAAATCTAAAAATTTTAAAAAATATTTTGTTTTTAAGATAAAATAACCAATTTATAAATAAATTGACTTTCACTAATTTATAAAATAAAATAAACTCGAAAACAAATTATTTCATTAGTCTTCAACAAGACTTGAACATCGGAATTTCTTCATAGCAACTCAGTAAGCTACCCTTACTTCCATTGATACACCTGAAGTTTTTAGTTTTTTGCTCATAATTAAATTGATTTTATATAGTTTAAATAAAATTTATGATTTATTTGCAAATATAGATGAAATGCTATTATATATCAATTTTTCACAAGAACCATGCTTTCTTAATATTATTTTTAATCTCAATAACTATAAATATACTGACAATTAGTTTGATAGAATTGTTATTTATTTAAAATTTTAAAAATAATAGCGTAATGACCAAATATGAACTGTGATTGGTGGATTTCATATCCGTGCAGGTTGAATGCATGTGAAGTGTATTTGTTCAGTTAAATGTAGTGGCCTACTTTCTCTTTTGTAGTCTGTGCGTGGAATAGCTAATATCCATGTGAGTGTAGCTGCTCTTTTAGTTAGTGACAAAAATTATTCTAAATTACTTTTTATACATGATAGTTAAAACTTAATATACTATAATGAATAAAATTATTTTTTCTACGTTCATGCAAAAAACAAAACTTTATTGCTCTATATTTAGTGAAAAAACTTGTTCTTTATTGCACTAGTGCACTAAAAATTTTATTGCTCTCATCTGTCATTTTACTTCGGCGTTTTATGATCATGACAAACATAAATATTCAAATCAACGCCAAATATTTAGTTCATTTTCATTTTCTGTGTTACGTTTTAAATACAATTGCATATTTTATATTATTTTCAATCATTTAATAAATAAATTAATAAACAAATGTATTTTATTAAAAATGTCATTACAAATTATGAACACAAACGTAAATAAATGCCCCAAACAAAGGTACACGATCACGGCTACTATGATTTGGATAATACAACTGCAGTTCTATAAAACATTTTTTGGTTTTTGCATGAACGTAGAAAAAATATTGTATGCAACTCGTGCAAAAAGTGTTTATTGCACTTACTTTTTGCACTTGTTGCATAAATAACTATTTTCTACACCCAAATGGATATTAGCTTATCTATGAACAAACTAAAAAACATTGAACTGAATGAATATATTTCATATTCATTCTAGGTAGTGAGAGAATTGCAAAAAAAATTAAATCCACCAATCACGTTTCATATTTTGGACAACCAACAAATATTATTTTTAAAATTTTAAATAAGTGACGAACCTGTCTAACTAATTGTCAGTATATTTTTTAGTTATTGAAATTAAATATACAAAAAAATGAGCTATTGTTGTGTAGAATTGATAAATAATAGCATTTTTATTTGGTCCATATTTTGAAAAAACAATTTAATTTTAATTAAATTATATGAAACTATTTTAATTACGAGTATTAAGACCAAATCCTGAAAGTGTATTTAGACGCAAATAGCCCGGAATCGAATCTCGGCGGGGACTAATTAAATAATATTTTTTTTATTTTATTTCAAAAATCAGTAAAATTCATAAATTATTTTAAAATTAGTTATTTTGTCTTAACCTAAAGTAATTTTTAAAATTTTGTAGATTTTCGTTAGTGGGTCGTAGAAAAAATATACTGTACCACTCAAGTGGATTGTCCATATCCACTCTTGTTGCACAAACTATTTTCCTTCTTCAAGTTCTATATCCACTCTCGCCTTGAACTGGTTTATGTTCTGGGCTGACACTGTATGTTTCTGGAGACCATTCCACAAAATTATAGTTCTGTTTGCAAGGAATTTTTTTTGCAGTTTTTTAAACTTTTCTTTATCTAATTTCTGTTTTGTCCTGTTTCAGGGTTTCCACACCAGACCGTGAATCATTCATGCAACTTTGTAGACCCTGATTCAGGGGCACATACCCAAAATGTTGAAAGGATGTGGAGAGAGTTGCGGGCAAATGTGCCTCGTTTTGGAAAGCGGCCAGACAATTACGAAGCCTATTTGTCTGAATTCATCTTCAAACGAGGCTTTCCGACATTGCGGGAGCGTTTTCACCATTTCTTCAGATTGGCTGCGGAACTGTACCCACCTTCTCCATAATATTTTCATTTTCCGATTTTTATTTCATTGATTTTTACTTCTTCATTTGGTCTGTGGATCAGTGTAATGAATTACACAAAACAAACTTTAAAATTTTTCAAGCCACAAATGAGTTTTGTTGAAGAATGTATCTTTAAAAATGCTTCTTTGAAAGTTACATTTTTTCTTATTCTTGTTTTTTAAATAATATTTTTGATAACGATAGTCCTTTCGATCCCAATTTAGGGACTGTATATACTACCGCAAGTCAGACATGTAACACTATCGCGAATAAGTCCTTGCTGTATTAAGATGACACGTTTCACCTCATTATCTTCAAACATAACATTTTTCTTCTATTAAGAACCAGTCAACTAATGTTTAATAAACAGTAAATAGTTTAATGTATTGCTTTCTTTTATACGTACGTTTTTGTAATAAATCTTGTGACAGGATATAAAAAAAAAGTTCTTATGAGTTAATTTATGTAATGTAAAAGTGTAATTGCAGTTCAGTAAATTGGCACTAAATCCGCGCTCGGACTACTTTCATTAAAACTATTGTTAAATAAATATGAAAATGTCGTTTTGGTACACTCTCGTCACCTGTTTTTCATACCTACACATTAAGAGCACGCTACACTCAGCCCAGACACGTCCTAACCACTATAAAACAAAGCGAGCGCGCCCGGCCGACGTTTCGAAATTCGCGCGCGCGCTAATTTCGAAACGTCGGCCGGGCGCGCTCGCTTCGCTCGTTCTCTTTTGTAGGCGCGCTCTTTTTATACCTACATCTTAAGAGCACGTATTTGGAATGGGTGTAACGTGCTCTTAAGGTGTAGATATCAAAAGAGCGCGCCTACAGAAGAGAGCGAGCGAAGCGAGCGCGCCCGGCCGACGCTCTTTTCACACCTACACCTTAAAAGCACGTTACACCCATTCCAGATATGTGCTCTTAAGAT